CATCTTTAAAAATCTCTAGTTTCTTTCAAAGCTCAGCTCAAGCATCACCTTCTACACAAGACCTTGATATTGTTGCATTTCTACACTAATTGTATTTAACCTTTTTATGTCTGTTTCAGATATAAATGAGGTTCATCTCATGGCCTCTCCTATTTCTTCCTCCAAGTTTGTATATTCTTCTCAAACATCCAAGTTATGAGAAGTTGCAAATTCTATCTCCTTCTAATTCCTTTCTACACTAATGTATAACTCCTTTTACCCTTCTTTTTTTCTGCTTTTAAAACTCTCAGAACAGAACTAATCCATACAGCTTCAATATCCTTTGAAGGCATTAAGGTTTATTTGAAGGTTCTGCAGGCATACTTGTTTCTTCTCCTAATATTAGGATGTTAGTATTTTGTTAATATTAGAATGTTATATATCTTCATACAGATCTTTCCCATTGTTCAGATAAATTTACCGTTTTTCCTCTGGATTCTTGTTTTATATTTCCAAGTTCCTAATAAACCTCTCTATCAGGTATATTTAAAAGTCCTCTATTCTATTAAAGATCCATTTTCACCTGCTACCCTCCCTTCCCCCCACTCCCCAAGATAATGCTCAGCTATGTAGGGTATTTTTCTTGGTTATAAGCCTATTTTTTTTCACCTTTTTGAATACTTTATTCCAAGATCTTCTCTTGTTTATAACAGAAACTGCTAGGTCTTGTGTGATCCTGACAGTGATTCCTTAGTACTTGAACCACTTCTTTCTAGACACTTGCAGTGTTTTTTCTTTGACAGAACTATGTCAAATAGAGTTGTTCTTTGACATTCCTGGGACTTTTCCTTTTGGGGCTCCTTTCAGTAGGTGATTGATAGGTTGTCTCTAGCTTTTCTTTGTCTTCTGGTTCTAAAAGATTTCAGGAGTTTTTATTTATTCTTTTTTTTTTTTTGCCTTTTTTTGGTGAGGCAGTCAGGATTAAGTGACTTGTCCAAGGTCACACAGCTAGTGAGTGTTATGTGTCTGAGGCTAGATTTGAATTCAGGTCCTCCTGACTCCAGGGCTGGTGCTCTATCCACTGTACCACCTAGATGCCCCTGTGATTTCTTGATAATATAGTACCCCAGGCTTTTTATGAATCATGGTTGTTAGAAAGTCTAATGATTCTTAAATTGGCTCTCCTTGACCTGTTTTCCAGGACAGCTTTTTTCTTATGGGAGATATTTTACATTTTCTTCTTTTTTTCCATTCTTTTGATTTTGTTTTTTAATGTTTCTTGCAGTATTATAGAGCTGTTGATGTCTGTGTGGTCTATTGTAGGATTTTTCTTTTTTTTTCTTTTTGGTTCATTACTTGAGTAAGGTTTACCATTTTCTCTTCTAAGCTTCATTTACCTTTTAATTATTTTCTCCAAAGCATTTGTCTCTTACTTCATTTCTTCTAGGCATTTATGAAGTCCTTCTGAATTTTTTTTCTTTTGAGTCTCTGCTTGCATTGTTACAGAGTTACTCATTCTTTTTAGGCTGTATTTTTTTGTGGTATCTCTAGAACTGTAATTATTTTTTATATTGATTGGTGCCTTGGGTTTATTCATGTCTCCTGCATTAGTTCCTGAATTGAGAATTTATGCCAGGGCCATATTTGGCCCCTTGTTGTGCTTTGGAGTGAGGTGGTCAGCCCTACTTAGTCTCTTCCTGGGGCACCTGTGTTCCTATGCTGATCTCTAACTCTCTTCTCCCTCCTATCCCACTCCCATCAGGCCTCCCTGATATCTTTGAGGTCCCAAGTACTGGATCTTCAAGATTTTCTTTGGCTTCTCAGGTAGAGTGCTAGATACTTTCCTTGGAGGCCCTGAACAACCAACTTGGTAGCTTCCAAAATGCAATGCACTTTCTGATCACCCTACCTAGAGTTTTTGTCTGGAAACCCTCCATTCTTGTTGCCTCTGGACACAGCCTTGTATCACATACTACTGGGAGGCTGCTGGCTTATTTGCTTATACTGGTGCTGACTTTGATAGTGGCTACCTTTCTTAATGCTCTATACTTCTGGCTCTATACTTTTTGTATAGTTCTGGAGTGAAAGAAATCACTACTCTAATTATTCATTGGAATTATTGATCATTATTGTATCTGGTGTAAATTTCAGGTTTTTGCTATAGTAAATATGGGGAAAATGATAATCTGCCTCCATTCATTTGTCTGGAAGCTGATGCCTTTCCTTATCCCCGCCCCCATTTACTGGAACCTTCTCTCTCCTCTACTTCCTCCTCCCCTAATTATCTTATATTTATGTGTACTATGTATACTCTGGCCCCACTCTCTCAGGACCAAGGTCATTACATCAGGGTTCTCAGATGCCCTGAGGGGCTGCAGTATCTCTCCTCTGCCATTAGCTCAGGCCTTTACTGGTTGAATTGCCCTTATTTTAGGGAGCCAAGGAATAAGTATCTCAGTTCCATTTAGCCACTTAAAAGCAATTGCTTTTATAAAGGGATGATATAGCAATGCTACAGCAAGAACAAACCTACAAATGTTTCCTCCAACACCTCAGGAACATAATTCTTCCAAACCACCTAGCTTTGGGGAGAGAGGAAGATTAGACTCAACACTTAGTTTATATACTCTGCATAGCATGTGTCCCACTAAGTTCTTGTGAAAAGGTGGCATTGCTGTTGGATGATGAGACCTGCTGCTGAGCTGGAGTCCTGAAGGTCACTCCCAAAGATTTTTCCTTGCTTCTCAGGGCATTGATGCTAGGCTACCAGCAATACTTGGTCTCAATTTCTGTGGTTCATGTTCTTGATTCAGATCAAAAACTACACTTCCTTTACCCAAAACAGAAAACAGACAGACAGGAGGCCCCATTTTTTCAGGGGAAGAGGACATATGGCTTTAGAAGGGGAAGGCCCCATGACCCATTCCCTTAGAGCAAGCAGAGTTTCTCCACTAGACACCGTTATCCATCCCACCAGTTTGAAGCTGAAGACAGTGAGGTGAAGAGAGCTGCCAGAAGCTGACCTTGTGTCTTTGTGAAGATGCTGACAGTTCTAGCTGCACATGTAATGAAAAAGGCTCCTCCTAACTGGCTAACAGGAATTGTAACCGCATGTCTATACATGTGCCAGTCTCTCCAAGACACTTACTTTACATATCTTCACAATTCTCCTGAAAGTTGTCTTCCCAGTATCTTCAACATGGAAAAACACCATCTGCTCCCTAACATCTTCGGAAGCAAGATAATGGGATCAGTCAACCCCCCATTACATAGGAATTTATTTAGTATATACTTTGTCTTTGATAGGATATAAACTCCTCCATGGCAGGGGCCATTTCTTTTTTTTTTTTCTTTGTATCCCAGAGTATAGCACAATGCCTGGCAAATAGTAAGTCCTTAATAAATATTTTATGGTTGATTTAATTTTGGACCTTGTTGGGCCCGTACTTTAAGCCTCCCATTTAATAGGACCTGCCAGAATTTACATTCGACTAGTGTTAGCCTTCAAGAATTTAGCATCACAACACTAGAATTAGACAAGAGGGTAGAATTTTAATGGAAAATCTAATAATCCATTAAAATTTTTGATTCACTTCATTTGTCATTTATTTGTATCATGAAGATTGTGACAGATGTCAAAAGGCTTTTGCCTTTGATTAATAAAGTTATGTTAAGTCCAGTTGTGCCAACTTTATGCTTAAAAAAATCTCTTTAAAAATGTGTGCTTCAAAAAAAATGTGTGCTGCTTCTCAGACTGAAAATTGTCTTATACCATATCAGAGGTATATATACTTTATGTTCTTGAATGTCTTCACATGAGTACTTTTTTCCCTTTTTTGGTAGAGGGTGTGGTATATAATCTCTTACTTTTATCTTTTTTCTTCCTCTTTCCACTAATTGGTTTTTGAAAAGTATATATTTAATGGGTGTGAAAGTTGCCCTTTGTTGAAGTTTGGGTTTTATATGAGATGTTACATGTTAAAATGTTTTCATTTTATATAAAATGTAAATGTGTGAATAATAATGCCACATATTTATATGATGTTTTAAAGATACAAAGAATTTGCACATACATTAGTCAAGTCAATAATCACTTATGAAGTGCTTACTATGTACTTGGCACTGTTCTAAGTGCTGGAGATACCAATAATGCACAAATATCGTCCCTGCCCTTGAGGAGCTCATATTCTAATGGGGGAGACAACATGCAGAAGTTGTACATACAAGATAAATATATTGTAAGGTAAATGGAAAGTACCCTTTAGAGAAAAGGAGTGGGATTAGGGGACCAGGAAAGGCCTCCTATAGAAGGTGGGATATGAGCTGAGCTTGAAAGAAGCCAGGAAAACCAGGAGGGAGAGGCAAGGAGGGAAAGCATACCAGTCCTAGGGGACAGCCAGAGTAAAGACAGGGAGTAGAGAAATGTTTGTGGAATAGAAGAAGACCAGTGACACTGGATCATAGAATATGTTGAGGGAAATAAATTGCAAGAAGACTGGAAAGGTAGGAAGTAGCTAGGTTGTATGGTTTTAAAAGCCAAACAGGAATTTATATTTGATCTTGTAGGTAGTTGGGAACCGTGTACTTTTTTGAGTAGGGGGGAGTGACGTGGACAGATATGAACTTCAGGAATAGGTGATCTCATTGTATTCTTCCAAAAATAACCCTCTGAAGGATGAATCTGAGGGTGTATTATTACATCCATTTTCTAGTGAAAAAAAATTCAGTAAGATCAAATCATGAGCTTTGATGGCAAAACTGAAACTGGTCTTGTGACTCTAAGTACATTGTTCTTTCTACTCTATCATGTGTCTTCCCTAGTTAAAGTCATATTTACAGTGAAATGTCATCTTAAATACCATCATTATCAACATTTTGACTGTATACTGAAATATATTTTCTTTGCATTTATTAACAAAGAAATTAGTGATCATAAATTTGATAAGCTCTCTAATATGTAACCTTTAGACATGTTAACAATTCTTGGCAAGACTTCATTTAAACTTTATTATTCTTTTCAGATCAGAATTCTTCAAGATCTGGAGGCTATAGTGTTCTGAAGTTAGCATCTGGTACCACTTCAGAGACAGAGACCTTCAGTGATATGTAAGTGTTTTCTTATTTTTATTGTAGATTGTTTCTATTAACTGTCTTTTGTATTCGTAATAAATTACAGTGAAATTTCGATTAACTAGTTCCTTCAAATAGCTATAAAAAGAAAGCACATCTGTCACTATTTTCATAAAATTTTATAATGTGATAAGAAAATAAACTGCTATATTTAAAAATAATTGCCCAAGTACTTGGGGGTCAGTATATATTCAGTCAGACTTCTTAGAAGCATCGTAGTTATAATGATTATATATTCTAAATGAAAAATCAGGTTATATTATATAGTTTGACCAAAGAGAGTTGTTCTACAGAACAATCAGAAACCAGAAATACTGGATTCTATACTAGCTCTTCTATGAAATAGCTGGATGACTTAACAAGTCATTTAACTTTTCTGAACCTCAGTTTCCTCATTTGTAAATAAGGATAATAAGACTTGTATTGTCTCTGTCTCAGGATTATTGTGGAGAAAGGGCTTTGTAAACGTAAAAGTAATTTATAAATGTGAGCTATTTATTTGTCTGTTTAGCCTCTCTATATCCAGGTTTTTTCATCTGTAAAATAAGAGGACCGGACTAGATATTGCCTCTTTTTATTAATTTATTTTTAGTTTTCAACATTTGCTTCCATGAGCTTTTGAGTGTTAAATTTTCTCTCCCTCCCCAAGATGGCATGCAATCTGATATTGGCTCTACATATACATTCCTATTAAACATATTTTCACATTAGTGATATTGTAAAGAAGAATTAGAATCCATAGGAGGAACCACGAGAAAGGAGGAACCACAAGAAAGGAGGAACCACAAGAAAGAAGAAACAAAACAAGAAAAAAAATAAAGCAAATAGTATGCTTCGATCTGCATTCAAACTCCATAGTTCTTTCTCTGAATGTAGATAGCATTTCCCATCATGAGTCCTTTGGAGTTGTCTTAGATCCTTGTATTGCTGAGAAGAGCTAAGTCTATCAAAGTCAGTCATCACACAATGTTGCTATTACTGTGTTGTGTTCTCCTGGTTCTGCTCACTTCACCCAGCATCAGTCCATACAAGTCTTTCCAGGTTTTTCTGAAGTCTGCCTGCTCATTATTTCTTACAGCACAGTAGTATTCCATTACATCCATATACCACAAGTTGTTCAGCCATTCCCCAATTGATGGGCACCCCCTCAATTTCCAATTCTTTGCCACACAGAAAGAACTGCTGTAAATATTTTTGTATATGTGGGTCCTTTTCCCATTTTTATGATCTCTTTGGGATACAGCCCTAGAAGTGCTATTACTGGGTCGAAGGGTATGTACATTTTAATAGCCCTTTGGGCATAGTTCCAAATTGCTCTCCAAAATGATTGAATCAGTTCACGACTCCACCAGTAATGCATTAATGCTCCAATTTTCACATGTCTTCTCCAACATTTATCATTTTCTTATTTTATCATGTTGGCCAATCTGCTAGGTGTGATATGGTACCTCAGAGTTGTTTTGATTTGCATTTCTCTAATCAATACTGATGTAGAACATTTTTTCATATGACTATAGATAGTTTTAATTTCTTCATCTGAAACTGCCTATTCATGTCCTTTGACCATTTATCAGTTGAGGAATGACTTGTATTCTTATAAATTTGACTCAGTTCTCTATATCTTTTAGAAATGAGGTCCTTATCAGAGACACTGGTTGTAAAAATTCTTTCCCAGTTTTCTACTTCCCTCATAATCTTGGTTGCATTAGCTTTGTTTGTACAAAAACTTTTCAATTTAATGTAATCAGGGGTAGCTAGGTGGCACAGTGGATAGAGGAGTCAGGAGGACCTGAGTTCAAATCCAGCCTCGGACCAAACACTTGACGCTTACTAGCTGTGTGACCCTGAGCAAGTCAATTGCCAACCCCAATTGCCTAAAAAAAAAAATTAATGTAATCAAAATTATTCATTTTGCTTTTCATAACGTTCTCTATCTCTCATTTGGTCATTAGATATTCTCTTAGGTTTTTCACAGCTCAAAATTTTAATTCTCTTGTCCAAGATTTACACCAAGGTTATATAATCTTTCAAAAATGAGAGGACAAATGTTCTGCAGCAAGGAAGGCTTGAATCAAAAATATCTCTTCCAGTCTTCACCAGTTATAGATTCATTGGCTTAGTAAGTTCCTCTTTAAAATAGGAATAGCCTCAGGGAAGGTTAAGCCTAACAGTCATTCATATCAAAATTTGAGAAGCAGGGAGCTTTAAATTGCCATAGGGCAGGTGGAAAATACTGAAGAGAAACTTCTACGTTGCAATTTTACCTAGGGCCCTGTTAGCCAATATTATTTTTAGACCCCTTAAATTTTATTAGACTTCTAAAAATCATCTGGTTCTTTTGCCTACACTATACCATCAGAATTCGTCGTGCCAATGTATATATATGTATATATTTTGCATATATACATATGTAGTAATTTATGTTTATAGTAACTATCCTAAATCATTGCTGAAAGATTCAGTTATGTTACTTATAGTTAACTTTTATTGTTTTTAATAGAGGTAGGAATGCAAATTAATAATACATTCCTGAAGAGATTTTTAGCAATAGTCAAAATTAACTATTTTCTGGATAAACCAGAAATTTCAAAGAACTAAATATATACCCCATTTTATAAGTAATGCAGTTAACCGAATGTTTTCTTTAATTTGTAAGCATTAATTTCATTTTGTAAGCAGTAGGCATATACAAGACAGATACAAGGCCATTTAAGAGAGAAGGCGTAAGTAACTGAGGGATCAGGAAAAGCTTCATGTTAAAAGTGGCATTTGAGCTGAGCCTTGAGAGAAAAAAAGGAACCCTGAGAGGTAAAGGTGATGATAAATGCATTTCAGCTGTGGGAGACAACCAGTACAAGAGCATAAAAATGGAGGACGGAATTTTGTGTGTTATGGCCAGTTTGACCAGGCAGTTGAGTATGTGAAGAGGAGTAACCAGTGAATCAGTAAGCATTTATTAAGCCCTTACTATGTTCCAGGCGCTGTGCTAAGTGCTGGAGATAAAAAGAAAGGTAAAATATGGTCTCTGCCCTCAGGGAGTTTACGTTCTAATGGGAGAGACAGCAAGTAAATGGTTACATACATACAGTACAATAGGTACAATATATGGAGAGTAGATGAAAGATGAATCTTAGAAGGCAGGCAGGGTTCTAGCAACTGTGGGACCCATGAAGAATCTCTTACAGGAGATGCTGTTTGATCTGAGTCTTGAAGTTAGTCAGTCAATAACATTTTTAAAGCACCTATACTAACATAGTGCCAGACACTATGCTAAGGGCTGGAGATACAAAGAAGGATAAAAGACAGTGCCTGTCCTCAAGGAGCTCACAGTCTAATGGGGGAGACAGCATGCAAACAACTGTAAAAACAAGCTATTTAACCAGATACATAGGAAATAATCAGCCTAGGGAAGGTACTAGAATTAAGAGCGATTGAGAAGGGCTTCCTGTAGAAGGTAGGATTTTGGTTGACACTTCAGGGAAGCCAGAAGGCAGAGATGAGGAGAGGAAATCATTCCATGCATGAAGTACAACCAGTAAAAATGCCCAGATTTGGGAGATGGATTGTTTTGTTTGAGAAACCCTAAGGATGCCAGTATCAGTGGATCATGTGACAGGTATAAGGTATTAAAAGACTGGAAAGGTGCTGGGGAGAAGATTATGAAGGGCTTTGAGTGCTAAACAAGGGATTTTACATTTGATCCTAGAGCTGATAGGGATCCACTAGAGTTCATGGGGAGAGGGAGAAGATGACATAATTGGACCTGCACTTTAGGAAACTAACTTTATCAGCTAAGTGGAGGATGAATTGGAGTGTCCCAAAAGCCTAGAGAGAAGAGAAGAAGGAAAAGACTGTGATCAAAAATGTTAAAAGTTGTAGAGAAGTCAAGAAGAATGGAGATTGAGAAAAGGCTGTTGGATTTGACCATTAAGAATTCATTGGTAACTTTGGAGAGAGCAGTTTTGGTTGGAAGCCGGACTGTAGAAAGTTAAGAAGAGAGTGAGAAGAGAGGAAGTAGAGGCATTTATTGTAGACAGCTCAAAGAGCTTAGACAGAAAAGGCAGGAGAGATATAGGACAGTAGCAGGGATGGGTGGATCAAGTGAGAGTTTTCTGAGAATGGGAGAGACATGAGCAAGTTTCTAGGCAGTAGAGAAGCAGTCACTAGACAGGGAGAGATTGAAGGTAAGTGAGAGAGTGAAGGAAGCCTGATAATCTAAGATGAGATGAGAAAAAGGAGCATTCTAGGAATGAGAGGTAGCCAGAACAAAGGACTGTGTGAGAGACAGCAAAATAGACCAGGATGGGTAGATCATAGAGGCCTTGGAAGGGGAGTAAAGTGTAAGAAAACTAGATAGACAGGAAGGGGCGTTGTTGTGAAGAGCTTTAAATACCAAAGGACTTTATATTTAAACATGGAGGTAATCCCTGTGTGAGTGATAGCAAGTAGGCCAGTAGGGGTAGACTGTAGATTCTGTGGAAGGGGCCTTGTGAAGAGTATTAAACTTGAAAAAAGGACTTTTATATATGATCCTGGAGGTAATAGGGAGCTACCAGGGTTTATTCGATAGGAGGTATGACATGATTAGTTCTAAGATGAAGGAAAATCACTTTCATAGTTGTGTGGTTGTTATATAGAGGATAGAGTAAAGTAAGGAGAGACTTGAATCAGGGAAACCACTTAGAAAGCTAATGTAATAGTTCTAGCAAGAGGTAATGAGGTCCTAAACTAGGGGAGTGGCTATGTGAGTGGAGAAATAAGAATTCCCTCAGTATAAAAGAAATATTTTGAAAGTAGAAATGACACAATTTGGCAGCTGAATTGGATATATGAATTATAATAATAATAGCTATCATTGTATAGCAGTTTAAGGTTTCCTAAGCATTGCACATATATTATCTCATTTGATTCTTACAATAACCTGCAAGAAGTAAGCATCATTATTATCCCCATTTGACAGATAAGGAAAAGGAGAC